TCCACCTGAAGCTTTAAACTACCTACCCTCCACCCTCTACTGAGCGTGTGTTATGCATGCCACCAGAGCTCTCTACAGAGACTTGGTCTTACAGAGAGGAGAATCTATACTTCACGCTTATTGCATGGTGACCACGGGGCAAACGGTTTCTACAAAGACAACAATATGTTTAACCAAATTGCAGAAAGAAAAAGAAAACAGGAAATTATTGTCAGATAAGTCAAATCACCCAAGGGTGAGCTTTAAGTCAAGACATAATTCTCTTAGGACTTGCTAAAGACAAGCACAATCTGGAGCTACTAGTCCTTTAGCAAGCTGGGAAGACATCCCAGACTCCCAGCCCTAACCAGCCTCACTGAGGACCCGAGGCTGGCCTCAGTGCACAGTGCTGCTCCTGCAGCCTCCTACGTTCTGCCATACCAAGCAGAAGATTCAGTTCTTTAATGAAGAAGTTAAAATTAACATCAACAGGGGGAAAAAGACTGCAGATCTCTAACTAGAAACTCTTTTAGCCTCCACTACAGTCAGGACGCCCTTACTGGGCACACAGCTCTCAGCTGTCCTCAACTTCACAAGTCGGACTAAAAACTTCCCACTGATTGACGACATTGTTCCGACACAGTGAGGACCTGTAGCCGGCTGTGACCACACAAGGTGACCTGCTTGCTTCAGGCGTCTGTCATCTCCTTGGAGAACTCCTACCTGCCACTTTCCTAAAGTGACAGCTGTTGAGCAATTCTGAATATCATGTTCTGTGTCTATTTTTCTTCAGATGTTAATCCATGCATATTCTTCTACGAATGGATTTCTGTTTCACAGAATACAGCTTGGCTGACAATGGGCTCATTGTGCTCGGGTCCTTATTACAAACAGCAAGCTTGAAGGAGGAGATTAAAGTCCTTGTGAGTCAGGGCTGGAGAGATGACTTGGCTGTAGGGAGCACTGGCTGCTCTTCCAGAGTCACCGCCTGTGACTCAGGCTCCAGAGAATTCACTCCTGGCCTCTGCAGGCACCGCACTCACACACACACACCCACAAAAAGGTTCACACATAAACACACAATTTAAATTTAAAAAAATCTTAAAAATTAGAAAAGCAAAAGTATCTGTGAAGACAATCTAAAATGGTGCCCCACGGTCCTTATTCCCTGGTGAAGAAACCCTTCTCTCCCAGAGTGTGTAGAACAACTGTATTTCCTCTTGTTGCTTTTGCTTTGGGGCAGGAGCAGGTGTGGGCTTGGTCTGAACACAGGGCCCAGACTATTCTGAAGCCCTTGATCTTCCCGCCTCACTCCCGGTCTGTAAAGCACGTACTAGCTCACTACTCATAAAGAGAGAACTGCAAAAGCACAGCAGCCTCTTCTGAGATCAGGCCGTGCTCACAGCGCTCTCACAGGACAGTCTCTAAGGTGGCCTCCAGAAGGCGAGCACTGAGGCGAAGCACTGGGTCAGGCTGAAGACGTTCTCTCCTCTCCAGCCAATCAATGGAGTTAACAGTACTATTCCCTCCTAATCATCACTGTAACCAGCTGCTCTCAGATTCCTGAGTCACAAAGCTTGAAATAAATGTTCATTGTTTAATACAACTTGATTCTAGGATCACTTCTGAGACAATAAATTGTAAATAAATAACAGTGGAAAACTGCAAGAAGGCAGGAAACCGATAGAGTCAACTCTAGCCAGCTTTAAACACATTTCAGAGATAACTATGTCTTCTTCTTCTTCTTGCAATGATAAATTTAGAGAAAACCTACATTTACTTGTCTTAAAACAAAACTCCTAAAAAAAACTAAAATAAAGAAAATCAAATACAGTAGTTTGTCTACTCGAGGAGAGAAGGAGATTGTTCATCAGGGAATAAGGACCAGTGGGTGCCATTTTGGATTATCACAAATACTTTTGCTTTTTTAATTTCTTAGACTTTATTATTATTTTTCCCCTAGTTTAATCAGTAAATTCACAAAGGAAAATTGTACTTTTAACCACAGAAAAAGCAGGAGAGCAAGAATGTGTGTGCACATGTACCTACACCAAAAAAAAAATTTACAAACCTATATATTTGAAGGTTTTAGGGGAGTAAAAAGTTAATACGCTGATTTTTGCTGTACGACTTTGTTTTATGCTCTCTAATTCTGTTGGTTAACAGCGGGGCTGATTTTTGCGCAGTTTCTATTCCTTACCTGCTCACGTTCAAAAACTAATTTTCAGCATAGACAGTAACTTCAGGTATTGTTCCAAAAACTGCATTAAAATACCAACATTACACCTTTCAGCATGGCTGTGCCACTTGTGCCTTATCCCGTTCATTGGATTTAATCATAACTTGTTCAGTCTGACACAGTGAATGATGACCTGAAATACATACTGCCAATACATCCAGTAAATAGTTCAGTAACAGCTATAGGCATAACATAGCACCAAAGGATACTAGCAGTAAATGATATAGACACAAATCCTGTCCTGGGGTGGGGTTCGCACCTCAGTGGTACAGGGTGTGCCTAGCTCTGGTTTCACACACACGACCAATATCAGAATTCTGTCAGAGTATTATTAAGTTTTAGTGGAGAAAAGGTAGAAGACCATAATAAACATTCTATAGTTTAAAAATAAAAGGAGAAGACAGGCATAGGCTAGGGGCATACTGAGCATCAAGGGAAAGGAGCCCTGGGCTTCAGACAGGCAGCCTAAGAACACCCTCCTAAAGTGTTCAACAAACAGGACAAGGAGAACTGTGAGAAAGAACTCTACAGGGAACAAACAGTAAATGCACAGGACTGGGGTGTGAGCCAGTGCCAATGGCCTGGGAATCCGTGTGAATCAGAAGCTAGACTGCAGCAGGAAAGAGAAGTCACACTGAAGTCAATGAGGTAAAACGGTGCACGGCCTTCTTCAGGCTTTGGTTGTATCCTGAATGGGATTGGGGAGCAATAAATGGTTTTGAGAAAGGGACTGACAAGGTCTGATTATATTTTAGCAGGATTATTCCAACTTGCTCTTTTGAAAATACTCTAAAAACAAAAGTGTAAATGGAGTTTACTGAAACTGTCTGGGGACAATACGGTAGCAGCAGTGCAGGTGACGAGAGGTTATTCAGGGCTGAGCACAGTTTGAAAGGACAGCAGCAGGATCTCCAAACAGCCCGAGTGGGAGGCAAGAAAAAAGCAATCAAGATGATTTCAAGTGGTGTGAACTGAGCGCCTGCATGATGAAACGCCATTAGCTGAGCAGCTGTGTTACAGGGAGAGCACCAAGGAGCTCAGGGAGGCTACGTGGGAGACGTCTGTTAAGACATCCAAGGGGATGTCCAAAAGGTAGCTGAATGTGTAAAGTCTGTACGGAGAAAAGGTCCAGGCTGGTAGCAGAGGCATAAATGGCGTTATGTGTGAGTTAGGTTCATGACCTGACTCCCTTAGTCACCGATGACTGACAAATGCTGGAGCATAAAGGAACAGTCATCAGAAAACCAACTTATAATGGAAAACAAACCCAAGACTCAAGTGAAGGCACTCCAAAACCAAAGCTGACACACCGAGGCTTCAGAAACACTTCCCTGGGAGAGCTGACATCCCATAATGTCAGTAAGCCACCCTCCCCAGGCCACCTGAGCATCATGGGAAGCGGGGTACAGCAAGTGAATATCTTCGTGTCATCTCTGCACTTTTGTCATCCTTACCCTTGGGATACAGCGCCGCGTTGTGTGACACGGAGAGACTGCAATAACTAAAGTACTCTCTACAAGCATATTGTACTTTTTTTATAAACTAGTCACTCTTTGGCTTTAGTTAAAGTACTAAAATACTACTCACATCTCAAAGAATCCAAAAACTTCTCAGAGTGAAAGACCATTAAGTCAGATCAAAATATTTTCTTTTTATTCAATAAATATCCAAACTCATTTCAGTAATTTGTTACAGAAATAAATTTTCTAATTTGACTGAAATACTGATATGACTGGAAACTTTCATTTAAAGGACTTGTGGGCACTTTCATTAAAACAATATTTATAAGAATTCTTTAAATCATTAGTCTATGAGTCTCAGGAAACAATGAAAACTGTGATCTAACTGTACTGTATTTCTAAGTGTGTGGCACCTACTCTGTAGTATTCCATTTTAAGAAACACAAAGGACAAAGCAGAAGTTTATCACCATGCCCTTCAACCTAAGAACTCCTCAGTCTCAGCCAAACCAAGACAACAGCCACCCATGGTACAAAGATGATTCTATCCTGCAGCTCTGCACAGCCCTTTCTTCCCATCTGGTGAGCGGAAGGGAAAGTGCAGAAAGCTGATCCAGCAAGGACACAGCTGGCGGCACCTCTCCCCCCAGCACAGTGAGCTGATCAGTCATTCTCTGAAGCACTCCTGCTGCAGGCGGCTCCTAGAACCCACATTTAGCAGGATTACACAATGCATCTCAGGGTTCTATTCCGTGTTATCTTCGGCTCCGAGAAGAAGGAACGTCAGGGGAGAACATGTGATGCAGCTGGGAGCTACTTGTTCTTAGAACGGAAGTCATCACTCTATACTTAGCTTGAATTTCTCATATTCCTCTAATCTGCAAAAATGTGCACATTTTATACTTGAGTTTTACATCAAAGATCTTAAAGCATCTTTTTTTTTTTCAGTGAACTTGAGCTTATCACTAATGGCTAGAGAATATGCTTTGGTCTGTTAGGTACTTAGCCCATTTTTACAACACTTAATATAAGACAAACACATACAAACTAAGGAAAGATACACTAAAACATTAACAGGGTTGTATTTAGAAGGCAGAGTTTTATTTATTATGTTTTCTGTGTTTAATTACGGTAAACTACGATGCATTACTTTTATAGTAAAACATAAGAAGTGGAAACAAAATTTTTAATTGGTCTATCTTCATTTGCTGTGTTATATAATGGCAATGCACAAAGTGCAGTAGAAATCACTACTTCCAACTTGAAATCATAGAAAAACACAGAACTGCTAGCATCTTAAACACAGGGTCATACATTACTCACTGTCTCTTCAACTGCAGCAACTTCTGAATATGACATGATCTAAAAAAAGAAAACAAATTTTCTCAGGAGCAATTTAATCTCACATAGCTGAGGTCTGACAGCAGAGAGCACCCAGCGTCTCCGAAGGACTTGGGTGGAGAGCACTACTCTATAAGGAAATACTCAAAGGACTTCCATAGGGAGCAGCACTCTATAAGGAAATACACAAAGGACATCCGTAGGGAGCACTACTCTATAAGGAAATACTCAAAGGACTTCCGTAGGGAGCAGCACTCTATAAGGAAATACTCAAAGGACTTCCGTAGGGAGCACTACTCTATAAGGAAATACACAAAGGCCTTCCGTGGGGAGCAGTACTCTATAAGGAAATACTCAAAGGACTTCCGTGGGGAGCAGCACTCTATAAGGAAATACTCAAAGGACTTCCGTGGGGAGCAGTACTCTATAAGGAAATACTCAAAGGACTTCCGTGGGGAGCACTACTCTATAAGGAAATACTCAACGGAGGGCAGGGACGTGCAAGAGAACCTTCACACTAGTAACGAAACCCTTCACTTTGTTCTTTTAAATCCTGTGGTTTCAGGAAATTGCGATCTGTCAAGCTATGAAGTTCTCTGGAATGTTCTGGAGGGAATTTCATTTTTATTTTTCTGGGTATTTAATACAATCTATCAACTTTTTCACTATGAAGGGCTTTCATTGGTATTTCCTGCTGTCTTACTGCACTGTGTCCTCAGGTAACTGGCAAGTCTGCTCTGCAGGTGGAGCTCGCCTCTCCAACACTTCTACCCATGCATGCATTTGAACATGGCTAGGAACTAACTCCTAGTTCTAAAATTCTACTACAAAAGGAAGACTTTTAGGCTTATTTTTGAAAGTATTTTTTTCTGTGAAAAATAACACTTATGATCTCTCTCTCAGAAACCAGTTCCTATACCCATTTTTCCATCTTCTTTCTTTACCTACTCAGACAGCCCACCCAGCCCCAGTCCTAGTCACATTCTTCTCTTCTCCAATGTTCTAGCTCATATCTAGTCTCTAATTTCCCAATAGTACATCCTGCCAATTCAATATCTCCCCTTTCAAAAGCTAGACCCACAATGACTCTCATGCACTCATTCATTTACCGTGCTAGACACTGAAATTAAAAAAGGGATAACACATTCCTCCTACCACCAAGACTAACCGTGTGAATTGTACTTGACACTAGACGAATTCTATCTGGACTACTCAATTTTAATCACTCTCCAAGCCAGACCCTGAACTCCTGTGATGTTTCTTTTCTCCTTTGTGAATGCATTAGTTATTAAACTTTCACTCTCTGGAGCTACTGTGAAGCTTCATAATAGTTTGTTTAAGAATGCTGTCTGGTATCCTTTCAAAGCGTGACAACACAAAACCCGATCTGGACAGTAGTCAACCTAAGATAATTTCCTAAATGATCATGCTGACTGTGTTATTCCTCCACTCAAAAACATTTGATACAGTGTTCTTTACAAAATAAGCCTCAAACTCTGGTATGTAAAATGTACAACTCAGCTAAACTCTTCATCCCAGAAATGTTCTGCTCTCCTAAGAAAGCCTAGAAAATCCACTTACCTAAGTTCTGGCTGCCAGAACTGATTGTGCACAGTGATTTGTAATCTGTGCCACCCACCCCCCACCACAAGTCTTCTTTTTGTTTAGCACTCCAACAATCTGAAAATCCTCTGATCTTGATGGCTCAATTTACATAACCAATTCTGTTGCCAAAATCCAATCTGGAGCTATCCTTCCGAGTCTCTGGCTTCCTCGGAGTATTTCCTTATCGCTTAGTGTATAGACATGATATTCCATCTGGACCGTCACTGCATCCTTCTGCTGTCATCAGACAGGACTATGACACAGCCCAGTGCCACCTATTCCTTAAGACACTGGCCCTGCACCTAGCAGTTAAAGCCCAATTGCCAGGCTTCTCAGAAGACACAAAAGCTCACTATCACTACTCTCTGCTCAGAAAACATTTCTTATAACCAGGCTTGGTTGTGCACGCCTTAACCCCAGCTATTTAGGAAGCTGAGGCAGGAAGATTATGAATTCAAAACCTCCCTAAGCCACAGAATGAATTCAAGGACAGTCTGGGGAACTTAAGTACATTCAGATCTTATCTCAAAATAAAATGTACAAAAATGAGCAGAGCACTTTACTAGCGTGCAAAAGGCCCCGTGTTCAATCCCCCAGAGAAAGGAGGGATAAGGGAAAATTGGCAAATGCTTGAGATTGTGCTCAGAAGACACTCCTTAGTCTGCGGTCTATTGCTCGCTCCTTCCTACCACGCTTTACTTTTCATCAATTAGCACAGGACACAGTTTATCTCTCACCATTCAGATATTCCGCTGGAGTGAGAACTGCTTCTGTTTTGCTCACTGCTGCATTTCTTAATGAAACAAGAAAACCTAGCACATTCCAGAATTCAACAAACAATACATGAATTTTATGTTTGAGTGAGTCAAGACCAAGATGAATGAAGACAAATATCTTCTCAGCTTCTAGAAGTCTATTCTGTTTCTAAAAATCACCGCGTAAACTAGTAGTATACTTATACATAAACTAGTGTACCTTGCCAAGTATTACCAAGCCACAGACAGGACTGCTACTGCCATGGAAACACTGGTCTCTGTGACCCATACGTCTACCACAGACAGGAAAGTAGTTACTTGTTCCTCGGATCTCAAAAACCATGGCGTGCCCAAGTATCAAAATTAACCTCACACAAAGTCACAGTTAACTATCAGAGAGCAATACTCTGGAAACGATCATGTGGCACATAATTTTACGTGTGCATCATTGCATTTTGCTCATCCATTCACCACCCCACTGCCTTCTCTTCTCCCTTCTCTTGGGTCTCCTTCCTTGCTACAGCTTTCATTTCAAACCTGCACTTGGGTCCATACAGGAGAGGAAATGCGAGGTTTCCTGCCTTCTCTCCCTCACTCCTACTCTCTGATTTTGGACACCTCCTTTTCCCTTCCTTCCTCCACACAACCCTCTTCCACATAATTTCCAATCCTGCACACTTCTCCCTAAAGTTTTATGGAACTCCTTCATTTTAATTTTGAGCAATTCCAATACCTTAGATTACTCAGCTGTGATCACATCCTGCTTAGAGGAAGCTGCTCTCTGTAAGCCTTGGAGCTTCTGTAAAATAGTTCCTAGTGGTGATTAGGAAAAACCTTCATCTGTCGATTTAAGACTTGGATAACTGTAGTATTTGTAAACACTGAAAGAAATAAGCCTTTAATACCAGCTCTCCTCAAGTCTAGTCCAGCAAAACAAAGAGCTATCTATTTCTGTTTCTGGCTAAAAATTATACTGTCTATACTGAGCAAATGACACTTAAATATGTATCATTTCTAATTTAGATTTCTAACTCTGAGAATGACACATGCAACAAAGAAGAATAAACTCCCTCCTGCATTTTTCAAATCTATTTTTGAATTCTAAGCCACTGTTCAGAATCTTCGGTCCACTTTAGCCATGCTACACATAAAGTAACCAGGAAAGAAAACAATTGTTGTGCACAGAAGAACAAGCCCATCACCACTACGCGCACATCCCTGGAAATGGAGGACGAGGCAACTGTAGAGCAGGACGTAATTTTCAAAGTCTACACAGAAGGGATAAACTACTAAAAGACAAAACTCTATTAGGACTCTCCAACTCTCACCTCTAAATATATACACACAAACCACAGGTTTAGCTGTATGAGGACCAAAAAGAGAAAACAGAAGACTGTTGACAGACAGGTGTAGTAGCACAAACTTGTAACCCCAGACCTGAAAGGTTGAGGAAGGCCATGAGTTTAAGGTCTTCCTTGGCTATGTGTAAGCTGAGGTCAGCAGTGGCTACGTAGTAAACTCAAGAGCAGCCTGAGAGGTATGAGATTTCCTTCTGAGATCTTTCTCCCTCAAATTCCTTAGGTCAATCCAGCCACAAGAAAACAGATCAGCTGAGCATGGTGGTGCACACCTTTGATAAAAGAAAAGAAAATCAACTCCAAGTAAAAAAAAAACTTGAAAAACACCTGGCTGAACCCTTCAAAATTGTATAGGGGAACTATGTATAGGCGAGCCAGGTGTGTGTGTGTGTGTGTGTGTGTGTGTGTGTGTGTGTGTGTGAGAGAGAGAGAGAGAGAGAGAGAGAGAGAGAGAGAGAGAGAGAGAGGGGTCTGGATTACATCGTGAGTTCCAGGTGTATGAGATTCTCTCTATAGCAAGCAACAAAGTAAAAGGTTTATTAAAAGCAAATTAAATATGACAAACTGACAAGCCCAATGAGACAACTCTGCACGAGACCCTGGAACAGGATATGAACATTAGGTAAAACTAAGCAAATCTGAATCAAGAATAAACTTCAGTTAATTTATTGGGTCAGAAAGATGAGGCACTGAATTCAACCTGGCAACCTGAATTCACTCTTCAGGATGCACATGGTGAAGGAGAGAATCAACTCCTACAAGTGGATCTCCGTAAGTGCACCGCCACAGCATTTGTGCACACACACAATTATTTATTAATGATAATTTATCAGCGGGGGCTGGGGATGCAGCATAGTTGGTAGAGTGCTGTATTTGATCCCAAGACCTCCACACACTAGTCATCATGGTACATGCTATTCCTTAGATGTGGGCAGGAGTCAGAGCAGAAGTTCAAAAGCAACCTCAACTAAAAACCAAGTTCAATGCCAGTTCCTGTACCAAAAAAACTAGGGAGATGGCACAGAGAATGAAGTGCTTGCTCGACAAACTGAGAGTCCCAGCACCCACACTAAAAATCAGGCATACCATGACGGCAGGAGTCTGTGACCACAGCTCTTCCATGCAGAACCAAGCCTTGAGGAAGGCTCACTTGGTCAATCACCCTAGCAAACCAGGGAGCTCCAATGAGCTCTTGGTGAGAGATCCTACCTTAAATCATGTCAAGAACAACAGAGGTCTAAATACACACACACACACACACTCATGTGTGCACAGCTATACATATATGCCAACAGGAATACATGCAAATCCCACACACATAGATGTACAACTTTTTACATAAGTATATGCATACATATATGCCCATGTATATATGTGTGCATGAAATATATAAGGTGATGAGAGAAAGTAGATACAAAAGATATAGAAACTTTGCAATTTTTCTGCAGTTCTAAGAGAAACCTCACTTTAAAAGTCAAAACATTGGGACTGAAGAAATGGACCTTCAATTAGGAGGAACTTGTTCTTGTAGGGGACCCAGGTTCCATTCCCAGCACCCATATGGCTCACAGCCATCCCTAACTCCAGTCCCAGGGGACCCAGTACTCTCTTCTGGTCTCTCTGGACCAGTGCACACACATACATGCAAGTAAAACACCCACTCATATAAAGACAAATAAATCTTTTCACAGAAAGGTCAAAATATCCTGTGGAAAAAATTAAACTAAAAATTGAAATCACAAGAATTCACAAGTATGCCTTCAAAAAAAAGAAAAAAAAACAAACATTGAGTTCCAGGGCAGCCAGACTGTTACATGGAGAAACCCTGTCTCGGGAAGAAGAATTTCCTACATATGCACAATTTTCCACATGCACACAATGCATTTCCAACCTAGTATATTCAACTTTTACCTTCAACTTTAAACAGCTAAGTTCCTAGTGATCCTCACATCCTACTTCATTCTGAAATGTTCTCCTAGCTCATTTTCAAACCAATGAGCCCTCCTTACTTCTCTTTCTCACAATTAGTATTCTTGTAAAGCTTTTCCAGGCTGGAAAGAAGGTGTAGTGCTTAAGAGAACTAGATGCTCTTCCAGACAACCTGGGCTAGACTTTCTAACACCCACATGGCGGCTCTCAAGCCTCTCTAACCCAGAGTTCTGGTGCACTCTTCTGGCCTCCACAGCACCAGGTATTCATCTGGCACACAGGGAGGCAAAACACTAATACACATAAAATAAAAATGTAAAGAATAAAGCTTTTCCAACCATCCAATGTACATAAATAGGCTTTACAGACTTCTCCTCTTGATCCTTTTGAAGAGAAACTTTATAAGTAAAAGCCATACTAAAAACCAATAGTAGCTTTTATTTAATAGATGTTTATAATTTGCTCAGCATTATAATAAGCAACATAAAGACTTGGTTTCAATCAATACTCAAATTCACTCTGGGAGAGAGACATTACAATTACCTGTCCCTCGGATCTAATGAGAGTTCACCAAGGCCAGCTGGACTGCGACTGAACAAGCACATTATCCAACCAGATTCTCTGAATGTGGCCGGATTCTCTGAATGTGGCTGGCCCGGAGTCTTTCTGAAAAGCCATTGACAATGACACTGGGACTTGTTTCCTCTGCATATACTGGATTTTGGGGATCCAGTCTGTTTGGATGCTCACCTTCCTGGACCTGGAGGGAGTGGGGAGAAACTTGAACTTCCCACAGGGCAGGAAACCCTGACTGCTCTTAGGGATGGAGAGGGAGTAGGAGAGGGAGTGGGGGGAGTGGGAGGGTGTTGGGAAGAGGGGCGTAAATGGAAACTTTTATAATTTAATAAAATTACTTTCAAAAAAAATGTCTCTCATATTTCAGTAGAGAAAAAAAAAAGAAAAAAAAACAACAATTACCTGTCCCTATTTCCTAGGGACACTGCAACCCTGGAAATGTGTGCTCAACATCCACACCACACGACATGACAGAGTGCTTTTCTTGGTCTTGTTTATTTGTGAGACAGGGTCCACTACTTAAAGCTGCCTTCAAATTCATGACCTCATGCCTTAGTTTTCTGAGCAATGACGTTGTAGGATCACCCACACAGCCAGCTCTGCTCAGAATTCAGCTACAAATCTTCAGAACCAAGTTCTTACCCACCTCTTCTGCATGTAAACAGTAACTAGCCCAAGGAATGAAGTCCAAAATGCTGTTTTTAGAAATAGTTAACTCAAAAGGGAACCATAACACTAGTTTTAAATTTACATTTCTGCAATTTACACTGAAATTATCAATATCGCTTCAATAAACTATAGACTTCACAGAAGAAACAATGGTTTTCCTACTTCAACATCTTTGCTTCAACTTTTCAATTGAAAATTCAGCAGAATTTAGAATTTTAAAAAAAAATCACTGAAAGTTCATTTGATCTGGCACTGAATTTAATACTATGTAGTTTGTATTCAGTTTCTTTTCTGTTGCTGTGATAAAGACTGAACGAATGACTTAAAGGAAGAAAGGATTTACTGGCTTACACTTTCAGGTCACTGTCCATTCTTAAGGAAAAAAGCCAAGGAAAGAACTCAAGGCAAGAACTCATTCACAGCCAAGGGAGTTCAACAGAAATCATGGAAGTCTGCACGCTGGTTCCCTTAAGTTCATGCTTAGGCAGCTTTCTTATATAGCTCAGGACCACCTGCTCAAGGAAAGGCACTACCCACAGGAGGCCTAGGCCCGCCTGTATCCCAAGCCCTATTATGAACAATTTTTATCATCACTAGGGCATCAAATACATTTCAGCTATAGGAACAGTGAAATAACTTTTCTAAAGATGACATTATAGCTTAGCAAATATAAGCTAAATACAAGGTTTAGTTTTAACATTTTCTGAAATGAGATTAAAAATAAAATAGCTGTCCATTTCTGGCCAGTTACCGTGTTCTGAATAAGCCATATTATTTTCAACTCACTTTATTCTCTATTAACAAGTGATCACTTTCACCTTTTTTTAATGTTTATGGAACCAAAACAATCTAAACCAGAAATTCAAAAAAGGATTGAATCAAGTTAATCCAAGTCACGAAAACTGCATGTTGCTATTAATTATTAGACTGTTCCTACACTGGAGCCTGAACAAAAGACAACACAATTAAAATTTACAATCACCTTGATGAAATAGTAACTCATCTCCATAGTCAAATCAAAGACAGAAAGTGGGCCACAGCCTTGCTCCAACAAAGACTTTTTTTAAGGGGGGGGGGGTGGACCAATGTCTAGGGAACGTAATTTAGCTTAGTGGTAAAACGTCAGTTCCATTATCACCACCACCAAGAACTACATTCACAAATACACAAACCATGACTACATTTCACTGAGGACACTTTTTTAAAAAAAATAATTTATTTAGTTTTATGTGCACTGGCGTGAGGGTGTCAGATCCTCTGGAACTTGAGTTACAGACAGTTGTGAGCTGCTGTTTGGGTGCTGGGAACTGAACCTGGGTCCCCTGGAAGAACAGCCAGTGTTCTTAACCACTGAGCCATCTCTCCAGCCCCTATCACTTTTACTTTGCATAAGAGCAACACTGCTAACAAAGATTCTATAAATCAGCATTCAATAGACTCACTCAAATTTGAGTTAAAATGATTACTCTGGAGTAAAGCCTTTATTTTATAAAGACATATTAGTCACTTAATCTATACCAGGGGTGAATTTTTTAAATTACTGGGTAGTATATACCGTCCCTGCTACCCACATTCACTTTAATTTCAGAATCTAATTCAGGAAGCATTGCTGATTAAGCTTTCAAGTTTCCATACACTCGATAGTGCAGTTGCTTTTAATTCTTATTAGTTTAAATGTTTCATTCACTCTCCTTGCTCAGAGCTGCACATGGCTTGAGATTTAGAGATATTTAATAATTCCTCAAAGGTTAATTTTGTCTTGATTTCACTAAGATCCATAAAGGATTTAAGAAGGCAAACACAAACTATTGCATCAGCATGTCTGGGACAAGATGGCTGGGATGGAACAGGGAGGAAAAGGATATGAAGCAGAAATACCAGAAATTTGACAGGGCTCTGCTCCAACAAGCTTTAAACAATCTGTAATTCTCATAACAATGTGGGAGTTAAAGTATTATTTGCAAAATACTTTAATTTGCTTTTGCAATGCGTGTGGCATTTGCCTTTAATCCCACGTATGGGAGGCAGAGGAGGCAGATCTCTAGGAATTCAAGGCCAGCCTGATCTACACACTGAGTTCCTGGCCTGCTAGGGTTACATAGTAAAATCCTGTCTCAAAAATAACCTAAAATCAAATAAATAAACTTTTGCTTTCCATGCATTTTTAAGGATAAAGTTATGGCTTACATCAAGCACTATATAGCTATAGATAAATGTCCTTATTCTGTTTTTAAAACTACTCACCGAAGTCCTGTCTGGTTCTCCGTCTGCTAAACCTGCCTCCATAATGGAAGATAGATCTATGCTTCTCTTTCCGTTAATGTTTAGCCATTCTACAGGTCTGGAAACCCTAGAAAAGGAAAATGTATGTATTAGGACGGGCTAAAAATTAAGGCAAGTAAAAAACAAGCATTAATTACAGTAGAAGGGGGAAATATTTCATGCTAAGGTTACTGGAAAATTAAACAACAAAACATCTTGACAAAGTTTGTTTTTTTAAAGAATTAATCTGGAGAAATGGCTCAGTGGTTAAAAGCACTTGCTGTGCTTGAGGAACACCTAAGTTCAATTCCCAACATCCACTCGGCAGCCAGTAGTGATCTATTACTCCAGTTAGCACCCTCTTTTGGCCTCCATGCACACGTGTGCTAACAGACATACATGTAAGCAAAACACCCATAAACATAAAATAACAAAATAATGTAATAAAGAAAAACTATTTTATTTCACTAATCATATACAGATTAGAACTAAAAGATTTACAAATATAAAACAAAATACTATATAAATATAAAACAAGTAGATTAATATGCAATCAGGGAATAACAAAGCATTATTAAAAACTAAAGAGAAAAATGGTGGTGAATAGGCTGAAGTTGAAGCTGGTGGTCTTGGCAATACAGTTGGTAAGATAGCTTGTGTACACTGAAATGCAAATAAATAGGATTTGAAAATAGCAGATAGAAACCAAGAAGCATGGAGGTACAGTATTTGCCTAATAACGAATCTATCATGATTCAGGTGTGGTACATGGGTACCTGTATTCTCAGTACTCAGAAGACAGAAACAGGAGGTTCACTGAAAGTTAAGAGTTCACCTTGGGATACATTAACAAGGAAAACACAACAGAAACCCAATTCCAACAGTAATAAACAATACAAAGGAAGAAGTAATTAATAAAAACAGAAGAAACTTCCTGCACTGGAAAAATATAGGTCTTCATAATGAAAACTCTTTGAAAGCCCAATAGGATCATGAACAAAGTGGTCAGGGTGGCAGGGATAGAACCGAGTTCGGGAATATTGACTTTCTAGTCACCAATTAGTTAGGCACCAATACCTTCCTGGAGCAAGGCTCACCAAGAGTTCCCACATACATATTCTGAAAACGGCATCAACTATAATGGACTGTTTCTCCACTGGTTAGGATACACACTTCTAGAAGTGCTCTTTCCGAAGGAAGAATGCTACATTTAGAAGACACGTGATGATCACTTGACTAGAGACTGAAACTACACCCTAGGCGTGTTAGAGTATCAATGCCTGAAACAAGTGATTTCAGCTACTACAGAGACATTACGCTGGTACTCCACAATGGAGGTAAGAAAGGCTACTTCTGAAGTATAGGGAAACCCTTGGTAATCTCTTCTCATTACTATTTCTTAAGATTAATGTCAATGGAAAACTATAGTAATACAATACAAACACCACAACCAGATGGGATGTTTGTAGAGTGTAAACAATATAAAATGGACATACTAGACAATACATGTTTGCTGTGATTATGATGTTACAGAGATCTATAATTTCTTATTTTGAGTATGTCTATGTGCAAATCAAATACATATGATTTCTTTCCTTTCATTGGCTTATCATGTAAGATATACTGACCTCACATTATATTTAAAGCCATTGTTAACTGTGTCCATGTTGAAGTTACAAACATCAACATCACTCACATATTATACATCCTACTCTAGAAAAAGAAAGGGATTATTATGTTGTTTACAAGGGAGTTGTACCATGTCAAATGGAAGGATGACCTCATTATTGCCTTTGGAATCAAGAATATTATTGGTTTACCAGGGCTGTGGGATGGCTTAGCTATCAATTTGACCACATCTGGAATTAATGAAAAACCAAATGGCTGGACGTACCTGTGAAGAATTTTTTTTCTAATTAAATAATTTGAAATGGGAAGACCTACCTATAATCTGTATCTCTGAGGTGTAAGGATCTATCTTTAATCTGGACCACACCGTCTGTAAGCAGCCTAACGGGCATGGAAGAAGGTAGTTTGTTCTCTCTCTGCCTGCTTGCCTGCACTCTCACTGACAAGTCCAGCCCTTCATTGGCATCAAAGCCTACTTGGGATTCTGGGGTACACTGAAGACCCCCTGAGATATCCAGCCTTGTGGCCTGAACAACTACTGGATTCTTGGACCTTCTATTGGTAGACAGCCACTGTTGAACTAGCTGGACGATGTAAAACATTCTAAACCCTTATAATTACATTAGGTAATTCCTCAAAATCAAACATTTGATATCCTGCCCCATTCCCTTTTACACACACACACACACACACACACACACACACACACACACACACTGGTTATGCTTTTCTGTATGTTTCCAGTGTGCTCTTTCTATCTTGTGCACGTGGTTCAGGGTGTGTGCTCTGAACTCTTTCTGCTGCCATGCCTGGTGCCTACTGCCAGACCTCCCTATGATGTTGATGGACACTTACCCTTCTAGAGCGCTAAGCCCGAAATAAACCTTCCTTTCTATAAGTTGCTTTGGTCACTGTGTTTTATCATGGCAACAGAAAACTAATGCATATTCATGTTCCTGTATAGGCACAGATACACTTCATCATTTGTTCTCAGTATCTGTGCTTTCCTCTTGTGCTTATAAAGATATAAGTGATAAGTGTAGTCACTTTGCAAACATCTTTGCCTCTGAGATTCTGAATAACTTACACTGAGACAATACAATGCTGTACATGATATTTGGAGGGTCCTGGGGGGATAGAAAACAATCCATTGTTCATCTGAACACAGTGAACTGGACTTTGATAGGCATGCAGTTTTGAAGTAATCACCAAATGATTCCATGTCACCTACCATTTGACACTGCCACACATCACTAGTGGCAAAATTAAAAGGCAGAAACTGTCTTCTGTTTTCACATCTTTACTTTTCCCAATCAACCTACCAGTATCTAACTCCTCATTTTAATTTTCCTTTGACTTTAATTATCTTCAGTAATTGCTATGTGATATTTTGTTTGTATCCTGATAAATAAAGCTTGCCTGGAAATTAGAGTCTAGGCAGTGGTGGCACACACCTTTAATCCCAGCACTTGGGAGGATCATGTCTTTGATCCCAGCACCTAGGAGGCTCATGCCTTCAATCCCAACACTAGGAAGGTCAAGACTATAAGGCTGGTGAAGACAGGATCTCTTGCCCATTCAATCTGAATATGACCCCTCCTTCCCCACTCAGTCTGAGGATTCATAGAGACAATCTCACCCCGATTCGGTCTGAGATTTCGTAGACTAAGAAGTCTCTGATGTGCTATGTCTCTGATCTTTCAGCTTTCACCCCAATATATGATTTCGAGTTTATATTGTTAAGAGTAATTAGGATCGAGCTTCAAGCAAATTGTTTTTCTCAAAAGCTATCTGACCTGATAATTTTTAAACAGGACTCAGTGTAAAAGAGAGAAGTCAGGCAGGGAAGGGCGCACGAACCGGTAGGGAGAACCGCAGATAGGATGGAAGGCTGCAGAGATGTTCAGAGTTAAGACCTCAGTTACATGAGGGAATGAGCCATGCAGCCATCCAGCAGCAAAGCAAGCAAGCGCAAAGCCTCTGGAGCAGGACAGCTGGCACGTTTGCACAACAGCAAGGGATTCCTGTTGCAAGGTGGGTAAGGAGAACAGTGAGCGAAGAGATGGGCAACTAACTTCCAGATCACAGTGACTCTGGCAGGACAGACAGCACGACTTTGCCCTGAACGAGACGGAAGACTACTGCTAAAAGCAAAGTCCAAAACAGAATTGACTTCTATTAGCTCTAACTGCTAACTCTGCACACAATTACAAATGAGTATTTACTGCTATAATCCATACAAGAGACAATGGTGGCCTGCACTAGAAAAGCAGCAGGCATAGTAGATGGTGCCAATTTTTATATACTTTAAACATATAGTCAAATTATTATTGATGAGCCCCATATATAAGGTATAAAGTACAGAAGAGGTTGGAGAATTGGAAAGGATTTTGCCTTAAACAACTAAAAGTAAAAAATGAACTTGCCACTAACAGGTATTCAGTATATTGTAGGAAGACTTGGGAAGAACTCGTCTCCAGGTGGACACTCATGGGATGCCACTTGGACCTCTGAATGGAGGTATCACGGAGCAGCTGAGGAGGTGGGCAGACGGCTCAGCTATTAAGAGCAGTTGTTGCTCTTGCAAAGGACATGGGTTCACTTTTCAGCACCCACATAGGGCTCACAACCATCTGAAACCCCAGCTCTAGAGGCTTCCACACCCTCCTCATGGTACACATACATAAAGGAAAAAAATAATACAAATAAAATAAATCCTCAAAAAATAAAAAGGCGAAGGGGGCAGTTGAGGATGTTGAGGATGAAACATGACTCCAAGGCAGGTCAGTCTAGGATTCTGAAGTCACAGTCTACACATGCAGCAGAATTTAAATAGCTGAGATTTTGTTGAGAATTGGGGAGGGGCAAGTTCAGTTCAGGGAAATGTGATACTTATATTTTGAAGAATCAATATCCACTTTTTTAATCTTAATTTTAGTTTTCAATTTGAAAAAATTTATCAGTACTCTTTGAAAAGGCAAGCTATTAAAAAAAAAGGACAGATACACACACAAAAAAATCTCAACATGTAACAATGGAAGCAGGAAAAGGAAAGGAAGCCTAAAATTAAGACTACGTGACTTAAACTCATCACCACTGAAAACAAAGTTAAGAAACAGTGCTAAGAGCAAAAATCTGGAGGGAGAAGGCGGTTGAGGGCTGTGAGAGTTGATATTCATTTCAGCTTGTCTGGACCAACAACCACCTAGGTAATGTGAGGGTCGAGGCAGGAGTTTCCAGAGGGGGTGGAGGGAGCCCCACGCTGATTATGGTGTCAGCACCTATGAAGAGCTCAGAGGGATGGAAGGAAACAAAAACTAAGCACCAGCTTTCATCTTTCCCTGAATCCTAATTGTGAAGGTAACATGACCAGGGGCCTCAAGTTCCTGGGCCATCCATGCCTTTCGCACCATAAAGAACTGTACCCTCCACACATGAGCCAAAACACACACACTTTCT